TTATTCGATTATTTCCTAAGAAATCCACTGTCGAATGATCTCAGTTCCTTTGTTGACAAGTAACTACACCTAGAATAAGAATTTGATATTAGCGAGTAAATTTGATGTGTAATTAATCTTTTCTTGTGAATAAGTGAATATTTAATTAATATAATATTACCATGAATAAAACTTTAATTTTTTTAAACGGATATATATTTAAAAAAATACCCAATATATTGTTAACAGAACAATCAATCTATAATATATATTTTATATAAATGATTGCAATTAAAGTGATGTTGTGAATATATAAGTAGACATATTTCAAGTTTAAGATGCAAAATTTTGTCAATATAGATTTAAATAAATAAAAATAGTTGTATAAACATAGATTCACAAACATTTTTAAATAAAAATATAAAGAAAATATCATGTATTCAATATTAAAATTAAGTTCATGTTAATTAATATTAAATAAAAATTGTTATATAATTTAATGATAATAAAACTCGCATAAAATCATATAATACTAAACATCTTATGTTTATATAACATTTTTTGCTTATTTACATAAAATATATTGACAAAGTGCACTTTAAACTTGGTACACTCTAATATAATTACATTTCTATCTTAATAAAATAAAGTACATTAATTTTGCTAAAAAAAAAAAAATTTTCTCCTTCCCAAAATAGAAAATATGAAATCCTTTCATTTTGATTATTCTACTGTTAAGCATTTGTCAAATTTTAAATATGAAAAATTTTCTACGTAATTCCACAAAAAAAAAAATTCGTAATGAAAAGTATAAGAGGGAATGATCAGATCCCTTTACTCCTCTCGTACCAATCACACCGGTGCCCAGAAACGCATAAAACCTGACCGAGTTTTGCGCACCGGTTTTGGCGAGCATATCCCGCGAAAAATCCTGCACCGCTCGTAAAAGTATCTCATATCGTGGCGTGCAATTCTTTCCCCCTCTGTCGTGCTTTTTATCGCACAGGAGGACGCATTTCTCGAACCCTTCTGCTCTCTCAAAACTCTCGAAACGGAAGATAAATCGATGCTTCTTGAACCTGAAAAAAAAAAACGAAAATTAATTCATTTCAAGGCTTGGCTTGCCTCTGTAATTCTAATCTAATTTCCTTCCTTTCTACCTTTCAATATTCGTATAAACATTCGTATATAACATATGTATATTTCAAGATTTTTCGAGTTGTTTGTTTGCTTTTCCAGGATAACCACTTGTTTCCTCAGTCATGACATATCTTCTTTTATCTCTGCTCATACGTTTCTCTCGTTGGTGAAAATCGTGGAAGACGAGAGAATTTTCCGGTTGAACGCGCGCCATTTATTCCTCGGTTGAACTGTGACGATTTCTTCCTCTTTGATCCGGCATTTATCCACCGAGACGTTCGTTGAACGAATGAGCCACGATTCCATTATTCTTTTATAATGATACCTGAAATTATTTCATTTCATATAATGATCGATTTCTTTCCTTGGTAAGCAATAAGAAATGGGGGGAAAAAAATCCAAGTTTGCGAAATTGGAAAATCAAAATAGAATGGTAGAGTGATTTAGGATGCAGCGTTGGTAGATTGTCGTGATCGTCAGCGCGATAAATGGAAAAGCACTCGAGGGGTTCATATTTTATTGCGTAATAAAATATAGTCCCGCGATGGTACGAGAAGGTAATGGGTCACCTGTCCAGGATTTATCGCGAGCAAGGTTTGAAAACTGGGTTAGTTCTTTAAAATTTCTTAGAGGGAAACGTGAATAGTAAATTTAAGAAAACGTTAAACTTTGTCCTTACAAAATATTCAAAAATTTCATTTCTTATGATAGACATTGATATAAGAAGAAAACTTCAAATTTTTGTTCTTTAAAATATTAAAAATTTGCCTTCTGTGATGTAAAAAGTAAACCATAAATTTTTCTCAAAAATATTCAAAAATTGTCCTCCTTGTGACAATGACATAAAAAGAAAATTTTAAATTTTTATCTTTCAAAAATATTTAAAAATTGTTCTTCTTTTGAAACGAAAAGAAAATTTTTGTCCTTTAAAATATTCAAAATTTGTCTTCTATGATATTTATATAAAAAAATTTTAAATCCTCGTCCCCAAAAATATTTTTTTTATGACAGGCACTAATATAAAAAGAAAATCTAAAATTTTCATTCCCTAAAATATTCAAAAATTATCTTCCAATGACAGATAGCGATTAAGCAAATAAAGAAATTTTTTAAACAAGACAAAGAGAAGATGAATTAAAATTGAAAATGCGGCACAAGTTGAGAAATGCAGAAGAAATTATTAATCATCACGTTCCAGAAAGACTTTCTTCTTCTTCTTTCCTCCTCCTCTTCCTCTTTTCTACAACATTTCAGTAGAAACGATTCGACCAACTGCATTTGAACAGTGACAAAAGTCCATAATTCGTCAGACACCATTGGCAGACACCAAGGGGAGGAGCACGCACATCCAGCCGGCGAAATGCAGCCAAGTAGTTGATGCCCAGCATTAGTCAGCCGTGAGAAACGCGGAGAAACCAGTTCCCCTCCAGGAACTTTCGTAATTTGACGTAACAGATGCATCTACTGAATTCGTAATACTTCAACAGAGTCGGTCGGTGCGACTATCGATTTTCGATACCGAATCCTTCCATTAAACCTAACGACGACGTATATTCAATTACATCTGGCCCTCGATTGTTCCAAACAGTTCAATTTATTATTTGTGTACAATTTGAAAAAGTCTTACCTGAGTATTTCTTTTTTCTTCCACATTTGTTTCTCGTGACTTGTACCAAGAAATTTCATTCTTTCTTTATTCCAAGATTTATACATCTTTCATCATTCGATTTCATGAATTAAAATATAATAAGTGCATTGAAATCAAAATTGTGGTAACGATTCTAAACTTATTATTTATTATTTATCGAGAAAAACCAGAGAGAATAAAAGATTTTTCTAAATCTTCAAACATCATCCGATCTTCTACAATTTCTAAAAAAAAGAAAAGAAAAAATTAATATTTTAAAAATTTACAAAATTTCTTATAAACTTATATAAAATTATCTAAAAAATAATATCTAAAAACTAGATATCGATCCATTTTTTAAATTTTTTTAAATTTTCAATCACATGAAAACGATTATCCACGATGAAAGTTAACCACCGATTAATAATCCAATTACGTATATCGATAAGTTACGATGCAGAGAAGACGAGACGATTTCAGCTTGAGCTATTAGCCAGGCAAACTGGGATTTTGATTAGGAATGAGACTCCCCGATACCTGGAAATGGCGCGCATTGTGTTCTCGACCCATTCACCTCGTCGATACCATGTCCGTGTATGTTTCTCTGTGTGAGTTGTAGCCCACCACCTATACATTACCCTCGATTTTCATTCTACGTATATACTTGCATGATGAGCCCTTGAAGCCCTACAATGAACTAGTATTGTGACCAAGCCATCCTGCACAACGTAATTCTGCGCAGAGCATGCGATAGAGGAAGCCAAAGTAACTTAATCGGCCGAGTTTCGGTTTCCTTTGAAACACGTCGATCAAAATCTTTACTATTATGTTATCGCGATTACAATCGTGTCATTGGTGATGGGCTCGTTTATTGGAAAATTGTTACGTGATTTTAAGGAAAAATATTAAGGGATTAATTCATTTTTGTGTTATACTTAGAGTGTTATATTCCTAATGGGATTGAAATATAAACGAACTTCCGTTTACGTCCATTTACGTTCATATATATTTGGCGATTATTCAGTGTTGATTGGCATCGATCGATCGTTCATGTAAACGAATGCACAACCAAGTGAGTTTGTATTATAAATTAACGATGTCAATTTTTTTTTTAGAACACGATTTTCTTTTAGAGTGCATATATTTGTTCTCAAAAATAATTTTTCATAAATAGAATTGAGAATAAAAATAATCATATGAAAATTTTGATTTATTTTATTTTCAAATTCTGTATTCTTATAATTGATATAATATTAGTTAAATTTTTTAAATAAATGATTAAGAATGAAAATAACCTTGTTTGATCCCAAAAAATTATTTTAGAAACAGTTTGTTGGAAAAACAAATAGAATAATACATAGAATAAAACAATAAACGTTTGAATGAAAATTTAATCAAACTCTTTCCCATTAACCAAATAACTAGGTGTTTCAACAAAATTCACGAGAGATATCACAGTTCGTATACACTATTCATCGAGTTAACATATTCACGAATGGCCATTAAAATTCAGCCCTATTCACCGTCGATTTAAAAATAAACACATTTGTTATTTCACAATTATGTTTAAATGAAACTAATTTTGATCTTGTTTCACTTTTTATTCATTCAACGAACTTAATTTATCAAGATAACGAGAGTTTTATAATTATAAAACGTTCATAACCTCGAAATATTCATTTATTGAACAGATTTTAAAAAACTTTAAATTTTCAAATCAAAGTTATTATCAATTAGTTTGAGAATATCATCATAATTATTATCTTAATGAATACTTATGAATATTTGTTTTAAATATGGAATATATTCTTCACTTAACTTTAGTTTTTCTCCAAAAGAAAATCGAATAGGAGTAACTCGAAGCTATCGATAATTCATCGAACGCTTCTATCGATTCTTTACTCGGTCGAACTCGAAATTAATCTCGATAAATTCTTTGATCGAGTTCCCAATATCAATTACGGAAATTTGAAAACGATCGACTTTGATTCGTAATTGGAAATGAAAAGACAATTGAAAAGACAATTGAAAAAGTAAAATATATACGCATATGTTTAAACAATTAAATAAATCTGTGATAACAAACAAACTCTTATAATCTTATATCGAATATTATTTTTTCAATGTAAATGCTATTTTAAAGTTGAAATTTAACTTTTTCGTCTTTAAACTCCCTCAGGGAGTTAAGCGAGAAGACAATCGATAAAGTTCATTCGTTCTCTTCGTATATATGCTTCTTTTCCATGTGTTTCAGCGTGCAATAAAACATACTATGGCGATGTGGGCAAGACCTACGATTTGGAACTCCATCGACCTAAGGAGGATAAGGTGCCTTACATTTGCAAGCTCACCTTCAGCGCACCGGGTGGCGATCTCGGAGACATCGTGCAGGCAAGTACAAACGCCTAAACCTAATTATTTACATTCTTAATTAACATACAATCACTGAATACCAACCGTAGTTATAATTAAACCATTCATCAACTCGTGGTATATGTTAGCAAAATCGAATTTTAGGTTATGTTAGGTCACCAAAGAAATTTCCATCCGGCAGAAATGAAACTTTCCTCTAAATCACGGTATAATTTCATGGAAAAAGGATCACTATAGATAGTGCAACTCTGCTGAGAAAGAACTCGGAAGCTAGTTTGAAAAAAAAGGGAGAGAAAAAGAAAAAAAAAAAAGAAAAGGGGTAGGTAAAAAAATAAAAATGGAAAAAGAGAATTCCGGAGAGAAACAAGGCGGAACCACGGGTACAGGAGGAATAAAAATTAACGGTGGAATTTTTAATAACGCGAATTGCTAGAATTGCGCCAGTTAGCCGGAGAAAAGCATTCTCGAACATGCGTTTTGAGGCCACGAAAACTTTCCAATGGAATGAACAGGGATGGAACGAAATAGGGTGAAAATTTCTCCACTAAATTTATATATACGTAGGTCGTTTGCTGCGTTTTCTCATTGATTGCCCTCATATTTACCGTTTTTATCAAAACAGATTGACCCTGCAAGTTGACACCATGTTGAAAGAAATTAAAAAAGAAAATAAAAAAGTTGTATATTTTTCTATTTAATACTATTCTTGTTGAAAAAAAAAACAAGCGAAATCAATGATACTTTAATCGAAGTTTAATTGAAATTTTCATAGAGATATTCTTTAATTATGAGAAACTCAATTATATAAGAAAAATTAAAGAGATGTTTGTATATTTATGTTTCAATATTCGAGAATATTCGTTGCTGGATATTATCGTTTTATTGAAATACTTTCAAAGAAGAATATTGGAAAGTTTAAGCAAGCAAATCTAATTAACATACTAACGAATAATTAATTTCTATTTAATGAAATTGCAACGATTCTAAAAGAGGAGAAAAATATTAATTCTTTTATAATGATAGTCAAAAATTCAACAAACTTTCTATAATATCAAAAAAAAAAATTACCTAATTCACACCATCCAAAAAATAATAAATAATTAATTATTTTTCAAATTACCTAAATTATAAAAAAAAATATAATTCAGTAACAATTATTTTTCAAATTATCTAAATTATCTCTTAATTTTATCACATCTAACTGCTTAGCAGTATTAATAATTATTTTTCAAATTATCTTGCATCAAATTGCATTCCTAATTCTGCATTCTTTCTGAAAAAAACAAAAACATATAAATATATATAAATTCACTAAATAACATTTATTTTCTAAATTATCTTACATTTCTTATTATACCATAAAAAAACATAATACAATCACGTGATAATTACTTTCCAAACTATTCAAATTCCATTCCTTCTAATTCCATCACACCTTTTCAAAGAAGAAAAAAAAAAAGGAAAAACTTAATCTCAATAAATTTGCTCAAACTTCGCCCAACGCCCGACAATCTCGATCAACGTAGATACCACTTGCGATTTCAGTTGACGTTCGACAGCTTCACCCTGGGGAAATTTGTGTCGTTCACTGCTGAGGGGTGTCCGGACGGTTCGCTCCAGATTTCGGAGGCCCAACGACCGGACGTGGGCGGCCTCTGGTGCGGTACGTCCTGGGGACCCGCGATTTACTACAGCGAGACCCAGACTGTCTCCATCACCCTCAAGCTGCTCAGGCTCAGCAAGGATCAGACGGGATTCAATTTCGACTTCAGGATGGCGTACAAGATGATCAGGAAATCGGACGCCGTGGTACGTTATGGCAATCCTTTCGTAGGTACGTATGGAAGTTTGGATTATATTCTTATATATCTTCCTCTTGGCAACGTGATTCCTTTGTTTTCTCACTCCTGATATTCTTACGTTGATAACTTTTGCATAAGCTAGATAGTTTTGAAAATGACGTGGCTTGGGTACAGTTGTTCAGATTATCAATTTCTTGATTCATGGTTCTTGAATCATAGTTTCTGGAAAAGCAAATTAAAATTATATTCTTTTATAAAATTTATAATAGGAAAAAATGTTATTAATATCAAATAATAGAATATAATGAAGATATCAGTAGGAAAAAATTATACTTGCTTTTTAGAGTAGAATTTTAGAATAGAATCAGACTATAATATCTACTTCATAATTATAAATAATTATAATTGAAAATAAATAGGTATATGTAACTATATTTTTATCTTAATAAAATGATAATTTTATATAAAAACATTTTCATTCTAATATTAAGTAAATTTTTATAAATATCATCACGTTATTTTGCTATTTCACTTTATTTTTCTATAAAGAAAAAATCTAATAATTATTCTTATTGATGAAAAAAAAAAATTATATAGAAAAAATCTTATTATTTAACACGTTCATTATCATTGTCAATTATGATCTGTGTATCATATATCCATAATTTATATCCATATTATTAAAGAACTAAACCACCATTAATAAGAGAATAATAAGAAACTATCTATCTTCTTTATTGTTTCTTCGTTATGAGTAATAATAACGTGAAAATAGAAATCAATAACACATAACATACCATTAATATTTTTCATTTTAAATATTTTTCATGTCAATGAATATGTCCAAGCTCTATTAACAAGCTCCATCCATATAGTGTAATTTTTTCATAAGAGCATCGATGCAATTACAAAGTACAATTCCAAATATCCAAATAAATTCCAAATATATTCCAAATAAATCACGTGCACCTAAAATAAATAATTAAGATTAATATGACAAAAATTTCATACCTTCATGTATTGTAATTTTTCCAAAAGAGTATCGATGCGATTATAATCAATTCCATCATTCCAAGTGAATCACCTGCAAAGCAAACAAATAATTAAGATTAAAATCCATCAAAATTATGGAATTATAGGAATAACACAGGCGACAGGTACGCCAGCGTCGATAGAAACAACATTATCAACATCCTCGAGCGATTACACGAACAGCTCGATGGCGATGCCAGTGCAGATGGTGGAGCAGTCATCAGAAACGACGAAACCGAGTACCGAGCAATACCTGGGGGATCTGATATCGGGCACCTACTGTTCCCGCATATTCAGCGACTGCGACCGGAAAAAGTGCAGGCTCCAATCGCCCAACTTTCCAGGATTATATCCGCGCAATCTCACCTGCTACTACGCAGTAAGTCTTCACTCCAAAGATCTTCACTCCAAAAACTTTCGAATCATCCTCTTAAATGCGATAAGTCGAAGAATAACAACGCAACATTTCTCCCTTTTCGTTTTCCTTCTTCTTCGAGTTCGAGAGTTGCTTTCGAAAAGTTGTTTCCTATCCGTTGATAAAACTTGGCAAAAGTTCGATGATCCTGTTTCTTTTATCTTGTATCGGGAGGCGATTAAAGATTTTTCGATTTTTAAGGAGTGAAGTTTCCTCGAAAGATGATGTTTCTTAGAAAATTCAAAAATTTCTGTTTTATTATTTTTTTAATGCAGATATTTTGCAATTGAAAATTGATTTTGGAAAATTCTTTCTCTTTGGAAAATTATTGGAGGAGTGATTGTTTTTAAACTATTGGCCATAATTCATTTATTAAAATAAATTTATTAAAAGAATTTTCATATTTTTTAAATTTTCGTTATTTATATATGATTGAAAAAAAATTATTTGAACAGAAAAGAAAATCGTAATAAAAAAAACATTAAAAAAAAATTAGGTAATTATTTATAAAGATAACATTTTTTGATTTTGATATTTTAATATAGTGTCAAAATTATTATCTTGAATAATTGTATAAATTTAAATTTTATTTAGATAAAATTTTATTAAAAAATTAACAAAAACATTTCTTTAAAATAGGTTAGATTAAATTTCAAGTTATTTTTATACAATTTTATTGCTGTATAAACGGATAATTGATAATGAAATTAAGAAAACTAGTTAAAAAAAAGCATTACATCATTTAAACAAGTTTTTATTTGAAATTTTGATTTGAAATAAAATTAAAATTAACATTTATTTAATTTCTAGTTTATATTGGATTTTATTTAAGTTAAATTAGATTAATAGTTTTTCAATTTAGATTAAATTAAATACTTTTTTCACAATGTTATTCAATATATCTTTCACAACATATTAAAATATCATCAAAAATTGATATCTTTTGAAAATATTTAAAAAATTAAAATAAAATCTAATAACGAAATTATCTAATAATTGTCTAATAACGAAATTTTATTAACATAACCTCCAATTTTCCTATTGACAAACAAATTGCAAGAATTCCATGCTCCACGTAACAATTATCGAGAAAGTCTTCTGAAACTTTGCCAATCCTTGCTAATGAATATTAACAAGTCTTCCATTCTAAATCGTAAAGAGGGAAAAGTATGACCCTCGAACGTTCTTCGTGACACGTAAAACGTACCCGGTTAATCCGAGAAGCCGTATTTCACTACAAAATCGCAGACGAGCAAATTGAACGGGTCGAATGCGGCACAGGTTCGAAACGAAGAGGGAGCATCGGATACCATTGGCATTCTGACGAAAATTTACGAGGCAACGACCGCGGATCTGCGAACTATCCACCCATTATTCTCAGTTTCCTGGCTGAACTCGACTTTCCGCGCTAAATACACTTCGACGCAAACATAAAAATATCGTGGAACAAATATCGGTTCTATTAAAGTTTCCTTTGGTTTTGTATTGTTTCCATCAAGATCGAAAAAGAGAAACTGTTGGAACGAAGGAGATTGTATTAGATTGCTCGGGAGATAAAGAGATTTTGATGGATTTTAATCGTTTTGAAATTGGAATCGACGAGATATTTCACGATACTATACTGTTATATCACACTATGAACTAGATATTTCGCGATATACAATTTATATGACGCCATAGACGAAATATTTCGCGACGCAATATAGGTTATATGATACAATGGACGAAATATTCCGCAGCAAAATGTAATTTATACGACACTATTGATGAGATATTTCGCGACATAATATAGTTTATATGATATGGAACGAACGAAATATTCCGACGCAAATATTACAATGCAATATAGGATTAACTAACGTAGCACTGACGAAATATTTCGTGATAGAATATATATTTCTACGATATTATAAATGAGATATTATACAATATTATACAAATATAATTTATTAATTTATTAATATATTACATCGAAGATGAAATATTCCGCAGCACAATATATCGTCCACACGATACGACGAACAGCATAAAACTAAATATATCTATCGAATCGAACTAAGAATACGAATAATATCGATTCTCGTCATAATAAACAAACTCGATACAAATCGAAATATGTCGAACTCGTCCGTATCGAAATATCCACAAAACAATATTATGTCGTAGAATATTTCGTTCGTAGTTGCAATTTGAACCATAATTAATTAATTAATTAATTTAATTAGAAACCATATTAATTAATTAGAGAAAATCTTTAAAATTTGAAAATTATAAATATTTCTCAATCTTTGAAATTAAATTAATTTTTTTTCACAAGTTGAATGCTAATTAACTATTAAAAATTTAGATATTAATAAAAAATTTACAAAAAGCAAAATTAATCAATTTGGTTTTTGAAAGGTTTAATTAATGTATTATTTACAAAGAATATTGACATCATTGATAAGTGAAATCGAATCTTGTATCGGTTACGTATTGCATTACGCGAAAAACAATTTATCGGTCTTTGATTCTGTGGGGTGTATCGATTAATCGAATGAACTGTGCCCAGAGGAGAGTGATAAATTCAATTACTTCTCGATCAAAGCACCCCCATGATTGCATGTTTCCGATCGAACTTCTCTTGCGAAAGCATAAACGTTTACACACCATTGTGTGCTTTACGTACAATACATATCCTCCATTTTTTATGACATACTGCAATCAAATACATCCTCTACTTTAACTTTGCAATATAGACGATGTTTACATTGTAAAAAAATTTTGAAAAAATCTATTAATATAGTATATTTCCATTTTCATAAATATTATATTTGTTCTATATAAACAAAAATTAATTTCTATTAATTATTACCATAATTAATAAAATCTCATAGTCAAAAAATTAAATAATTAATAATTATTAAAAGAAAAATTATAAAAGTTATTATTTAAAGAGAAATATTTTGTTTATATTAATTTTACATATTTCTTATATGAAAAAAATTAAAAAATGTATAAGATGCAATGAACAAATATAATTAATTACTGTTTTTAATATATATATATATATAATATATTTTTTAATATATATAATCATTCTGTATATATGTTGAATACAACAATACAATTTCTTATGCATTTTATATAAATTTTTTAATTATTAAAATATTTATTAAAGAAATTTATTTTTTATCACATTTTATTATCACATTTACATATTATTTTATCACACATATATATAATTTTCAATAATTTAAAATCTTGTTTCTTTTTTTAAATAAAGAAATAACTTTATTATAATAAACGATGAAAATCTACAATACATTATTTTTAGATACCACTAATTAAATAAAAATTCACGTAACCTCTTTTAAATATTTTTCACTTATTTTACTTCACAGGTAAGGCAACACGACGTACCACCTGGAAAACACGCGTTAATTTCGGTGAAACAGCCTCGTGGCCAATTGGTGGCCATAAGAGCGAGGCCAGCGGCGACCCAAGCGGAATCGTCGCCCCGTGAACTTCGTTTGTGGAATGATTGCGACTTGGTCCAGGTACGTGATAAAAGAGAAAATAAATCGAGATAAATTTGATGATCGACAAAGGAGATACGGAAAAGGCACGTGATCAAAGGTATCCCTATCAACGAAACCGGAACTGCCATTATACAAGAACGCTTCTTAAATCACCGACCTCTTTGCCCAATCTATCGATCCACGAGGAGAATAACTAAATTCGAATCGAGGATGAAGGCAACCCCATGTGGTCTAAGTTGATAAGCGGAATTTATTGGCAGAATATGGGGCCAGGCTAAGATAAGGAAGATAATGGCGATCTTGGCCAATGTTTCTGAAACAATAATTGAAAATTTATTAATTTCGTATGTTCGAGAATTAAGTCGATTCGACGATTTTATTTATTTATTTTTTTTTTTTTTGATTATTTTATGGAATTTTAAAGTCAAAAATATTCGTAATCGAATACATCTTAAACGAATTTAATTAATAAGTTGTAGAAGCGATAACTAGAATTACATTTAGATCGAATGTTTTCTAATTTTTCATGTTTGTTCAATAGATAAGTTAGATTGGAATCGGTAGGTAAGTTATTAAGAATCTTAAGAATTTTCTAAAAAATATCTACTTTCTAATGTTAAAATTATTAAAAAAAATAATCTATATTAATATAATCTGTATAATATATTATTATAAAAAAAATTAAAAATTCAAAATTATTGAAAAAAAATTATATTAACATAGATATACGTTATTTGTTCTATGAAATAATAAAAAAGAGTCATCCATTGATGCCCGCAGGATTACGTGACAGTGTACGATGGTTACACTACTCGAGACCCGGTGATCCTGAAATTTTGCGGAGGAGGCGAACCAGTGCCGGAAGCGACCAGTAGCGGAACCGAAATCTTGGTCGAGTTCACCACGTCTCCTTATGGCACATTTCTACATCCTACGCCACCGCACTCGCTCCACGGTTTTCAATTAGAAGTGCAAGTACGTGGTAATTCTGTTCAAACATTCACAGGAACACCTTGCTTTACACCTCACATCGTGGCGAACTACCGGCCCCCTTCGTTCGCGGATCGCATTTAAATGGATGGTTGGAAGAGAGTTACTGCGACTTTTCACCAGTGTAACCGGATAATGAATTTTAAAACGGCGATTTTTCTTATTTTTCTACTTCCTTCCTTCCGTTTCATTCCTTTGGATTAAGGGGTATTAATGTTGATGAATCTTTTCTCAGATGAATAATGAATTTTAAAATTTTTTCTTTTTAGCCTTTCAAGATAATTTTAACGATTTTATGCAAGTTCACTAGGATGAACGATGACTTTTAGGAAGAGGATTTATAAAGAATTTTAGATATTAGAGATACGTTAATAGTGATAAATTTTTCCTCGTGTCTTTTCTTCATGTCAATTTTATTATAAAACTTTTTGAGAAGATCTAATAAATTACAAATTCAAATAAATTATAATTTAAAACCATCATAAATATCAATTTACAAAAACAATTATCTCAAAATTTCTCTTGTCTAATGAATTTTAAAGAAATCTGTTCTTAGTCCTTTTTCTCACATCAATTCTAATAATATCATAATGTAACTTTTCAACGCATAAATTATTCGCTTATATCTGAAAATTATAATATCACAATGATTCAAAACCAGCATACAAAAATCTTTTCCTTTTTTTTCAATATCAACTTACAAGTATTCTTTAATCTTCTTGCTCTAACAAAGTCACATCCTTCCCAAAAAAAATCCAACAAACTATGCTTCCAGGTGAAGTTCGTGGACGCAGACTCGCCAACATACGCGAAGAACAAACACTGCGAGTTCTGGTTGCAGGGGAGTGGGGGCGGAGTGCTCGCTTCCCCGCGCCACTCTTTGCCACGCAACAGCACGTGCCTGTATCATCTACGTGGCGCTGGCCCAGCACTTCCTAGCCCAACGCCACCGCGTCCTTTGCCCAAGTTTCCGGAACAAAGGCCGGGCACCGTGTGGAGGAGGCCTGCGCCACGAGCACCGCAGCCGCAGTTCCGCGTCTGGCTGTCCATCCTCAAGTTCCACGTGGGCACGAGCCTGTCCACCGGCGACGAGGATTGCTCCACCACGCTCATGGTCTGGGATGGAGAGATGATGCCCTTGTCCGAATGCTATGATCCCACTTGGTTGGTGTTATTTTGATTAATTATTGTAAGTTGCGCAAAAGTTTGTGAGACTTGATCGATTTTAAAATCTCTTCAAAGTTGATATTGAGATTATTTTTATTTTATAAATATGTTAATTTTCATTTTTGATGCAGTATCTATCTTTGAATTGTACAGCTTGAACAAAGTCTATGTACGTACCAAATGATCAACGCTTAAAAAATGCATGATATTCGTGTTTGTCTCCGTTTAGTTGTGTTTGTCTCCGTTTAGTTGTGTTTGTTTTCTTGTTACACTAAAGATCTTCTTGCAGAGATACAGTTCGGGTTTATTTCGTTCAGAATTTCCAAGAGAATTTGTATAAGTTATCGATAAACAGGTTTTTGGTAACCATATCATTGAAATTTCTATAGATTAATTTTGGATAATTTATAAATAAATTTAAATCTTTTTATAATATAATATATAATTATATATTATATATTTATATTTATATCTGTATCTATAAAATATAGTTGTATTTTTTAATACATATTATAAACTTATATTACTAACAGGAAGACAAATTAAAATTGCAAAGTACTTTTCTGTATTAAAAACTCAACACATCTGTAAAAATCAATTTACAATTTTCTCTCTCTTCAAATTTCATCCCTTCATTTTAATCCACTTCAATCTCTCAAAGCTCTATTTACCTATCCTAACAGCGAGAAGGAGCATCAACGTCACGGTGACAGATCCGGTGCAGACCCACCTCATCCTCTGGCAGCTCGCCCCGCTGGAAACACTACGTTATTGGCACGATATTGTAAGGACAAGGTGCCAAGGACTTGCGATCACGCGATCCTGCAAAATACCAGCCGTCCATGTTCCTTGGGCGAGAGCTTCGTGTCGAGTGGAAGCACTTTGACCATCGAGATGAGAATGGTCGAATCGACGGCTCTCAGGCAAGTTTAAACTCGATCGAGTAAAGCTAGGGAAATATAGAAAAGAGGGGGAGAAGTAGAAGGGAGAGGAGCAGTTTCAATTACAGGCCGCATGCCGTTTCGTTGTCGTTGTTTCACTTGAATCGATCGATATCGGCACGCGTATTATGTTTTCTCTCGATAAAGAGATTTCACGGAGAATCCGTGGAAAACGAACTTTTATTGACCGCTTCGTTTTTCTAATATTCGTTTTCAACGATCGCGAATAGAAGGTTTAAACTGGATTTAGTTTTATAATATTCGAATAAATTGCATTGGTTTTTTCTTTTATCGTAATTATATGCATTTTTATCCTGAAAGTCGTCTTTAATAAGATTAAATGTTAATAAGCTAGAACAATAATATTCACAGGAAGGTAAATGTGATATGGTAAATGTCTGAAAATATATATTATATATAATATATATTCCGATAGAACTTAATCTAACTTTTTCCAGTTAATTTAATATAAATATTCTCTTTACATTTTTAAATTTTAATCTTTAATCTCTTTTTAAAATAATTCATTAGTCGTTTATTAGCAATTTTAAGCACGTTGTTAAGCAAAATTTATAATTTAAAGCATAGTCGGATTAATCGACAGATTGGAAGCCACTAATTTAAACCATTAATTTAACATTTTATTATTGTATAAAAGTGAGAAAAAATTTTTATTTCATACTTTTAAAGCAAGATTATCGATCGACGGTAAAAAAAATCAAAGGACGAGAAGGGTTTTTTCGAGTAGTCTCTCACTCGATAAAAAAGCAAGATTTTCATTTCTTTCAATTAACTCCCGTTTAAGAAAATCGAATGAAACTCATCCTCGTGGGGGAAAAGAAAATTTACAAAGCGAATTAAAATCAAAATTTGAAACGAGAATCGCACAAACATTCCATGGTGGATTTAACTTCCTTCGAGAAATCAGAAGTTCAAAATTCCGATATCATGATATCTTGCGCCACTTTTCTCTCTCTTTTTTTTTTTTCTTTTCCTTTCTCGAGAGGTAGAAAGCTTTGAATATAAATTCAAACGTGAAATTTGCTCGTGACACCGGCCTCCTGTAGAATCGATACAGAACGTTACACGCGAGGAATGCGGAGGTTTTATGGCGACACAGCGCAATATCTGGCGCACTTGCACGTTTTCGCTACCCTCTCTCCCCCTTGATCCGTTCCTACGACTCGGCTTCCCTTATATCAGTTATTTATAAGAAACGATTTTTCCTCAGGCCATTTCACGGAAACGCAAATGATTCTACGACTGAATAAAATGTTTTTCATGCATTTAATATTGTTCCAAGCACTTTTCTAATTCCATTTCTTATTCGTAATTTCATTAGATAAAATTTATTAGATAATATTTTAATATAAGAAACGATTTATTTTACGAATCTCTACTTCTTTCGATTTCTATTTTATTCAAGTATAAGAATATTGTTTTCTCTTTAATATCCTGATGATTTCCCTTCCAATATTTTTACTTCATATTTTCCTTGGCGAGGAGAAAGAAATATACAACGATATATTTTATATCAAATTTATTTGGATTCGTGTTTAAAGGTAACGCGTAAAATGATAAATGAGGACAGGAAAAGACACGATAAACGTTGATCCATCAGGAACAAGGAGCAAAAATAAATAAACAGAGTTAAATAAATTCTCAAATCCTCTCGTTGACGAGAGAGAAAAAAAGAAAGAAGAAAAAGAAATGATAAAAAAACTTGTACTTTCAACGTTCCTCCTCCCTTTACAGCTGCATCGTTGAAAATCCCTTTCCAATACAGAGCCATTACAGAACCTCTTACCGACGGAGTTCAATTAAATCGAGCAGGCATAAAATAATAAAAAAGAGAGAAAGAGATGGACGAATCATTTTTTAATTGATCTCGCACAAGAGAGATGGCGTTCAAGGAAGGCTTGTTTAATGAGTTAATAAAGGGTGGACGGAGGTTCATGCGGAAGGGATTAACTAGACCGTGCGTTATGCGTGTCAGGCTTCGTGTGAAAGAAAATAAAATGTAAATGACCCCGTTTGCGACGTAAACGACAGACGTCCATCATCCATCCGAGATAGATAATTACCACTACGTGCGGGATAACATCCATGCTCTGTTACGCGTTTTGTAATCGTGTATTTTTAGCAAGCGGATATTTTTATATTTTTCTCTCATGGCGATTCACGAGGGTGCGTTTCCTGTATTCTAAGTATACGCTGAGAGTGGTTGAAAATAAGAAAAATCATATCTCGATGTTTTTCGATTTAGAGGGTATTATTTAATTTTTCACGAGAAATAAGATTTTCTCGTTCATTCGATACGCGGGAAAATTTAAAATATTATCGTGTAGGTGATGGAATTATACGTGTAAAGAGAAAGTTAGAGAAACAAAATCTCGAGAGAGAAATCGATATTTCGATATAATGATTAATTTCTGAAAAATTCAGATTCAGAATGAACGTGAAAATTTGTCTCGATGCCGCAGACCGGTGAATTTTCGCGCCCTCTACGAGTTCGTGGATCTTCACCAAGATGGGGATCCGTATGGAAGCGGGCCATGCTCGAGGATATTCTACAGCCGTAATCGAGATCATTATCCTGATCGTAGATTCCAAGCGCCACGCGACATTTTCCTTTATGGCCGCGGCGGAGCGAAAAATATAAGGTGAGTTCACTTTCTCGTTTCCCCTTAACCATTGTTCGAGGTTTCTCGATACTGCAATGCCTTTAAGATTGTAGCGCTGCCATCATAGCCAGAATCAAGGATTTACTTCGTTCAAAGCAATTTTTCCCGGCCGTATATTCTCTTCTTCTTCTAAAATAATAAAATGAATCCTTTAAAGAATAAATGCAGAATTCAATTTGTAAGGGTAAATTAATTTTTGGAATATTCTGAAGAATTTGAGAATTATCGATAATCGGTAATAATTCTGTTCAAAAATTCTAATTGAATTTATCCTAAAAGATAAATTCCAAATAGATTTGTTCTTATGTAAAGGAATCTTTTGAAGTATAAGAACAATTCAATAAAGCGGAATTCAATTTGGATATTAATTTCTGAAGAATATTTTGAAGAATTTTAAAATTATCGATAATCGATAATATTTATAAATTTAAAATTTTAAATAGATTTTTCATATTGCAGCATCAAAGTTAAGATTGTGAAATTAAATTAATTTAATAATACGATGTTCATTGGTAATAAAATTTTAAAATAATATATATTCTTTTTTTTATTCCTAATATTTAGATATTTAATTTGTAATCTTATCTCATATAAAAAATCCTTTATATTTATTTGTAAGAAATTACATTTCTAAAATATTCCAAAGAATTTGAAAATTATCAAGAGTTGCTAATATCTATTCAAAAATTGTAAATTCCAAAATCTAATTTGAAAGAGGAAACCCGATTGTTGAAATTATTATAATGAAAAAAAAAAAAAATTCAGGAAAAAAAAATTCGAGTAAAAATGTTACGAGAACAATATTCATGAATAGAACGATGGAAAAGAAAACGAAGTCTCGAGACAAATGCCACGTCCGAATAAGTGAGAATTAATGAAAGGAAGCGAGATGCGCGCGCAATCTGTCCATTTAAATGATTCGAAGAAAAATGGCGGGTCGACCTAACGAGGACAAACTCTTTCTCTTTCCGCCGGCCGCATCCGGTGCGCGCCTTTTACGCGCAAACGATTCCGCGATTTCGAATGAGATGCACGTCACCAGCTTGCCTCTTTGTTCCACCTGCAAAAGCGATAGCTGGCCGTAAATAGTCCCTTTGTGCATCGCGACGAAAGTGTGCGCGCCTTTTTCTTTCTTTCTCCTTTCTTTTACTTTTTTTTTTTAAATTTTCCTCCTCGCTTCTTCTCCTCTGTCATCGAGTTCTTCGACCCCCTTCGAGATCGAGGCTGAAGAAAAAAGAGGAAGAGGAGGATGTGAAGAGTCTTCTATTCTCTTAGAAAGCCTTCAGACATTGTTGCGAAATTTTTTTCTGACCGTGTATTTTTTTTTTTTTTTAATATTCAGATTTTTAACAATAAAGAAAGAGTGGAATAAACTATATACGTGATTTTGATCATCTTGATATTTTTAATATTATTATTTGCAACGAATAACATTTCAAATAAAAGTTGAATTTTATGATTTTTCATGGAATAAATTTTGCAAAAATATTCAAATTGAAATATGTGTTAAGAATTTTTAGGCATATAGAAAGTATTAAAAAAAAAAAGAAACAGGAAAAAAAGATTGATGTTCATCTTTATGCAGAAAGAATTAAGAATAAAGATTATGCATTTTTTGACACCATTCTTTTATCTGAATTACAAATAAATAATACTGAGAAAAATGTTAAAATCAGACATTCTATACAGTAACGTGAATTTGTCACGAATTCCTCCTCCTTTAAAATCTTTTTCTTTTCATAGTTATGAGTTTAACAAAGTAAAAACTTTCACCAACTTAAGATTGGAAAAGTATTATCAAAGCTATTCGTTTATCACGAGCATTTTTCTCTTTCAAATCTTTTTCCCTTATCTCACTATTATTCCCCTCTCTCCAAAGCGAATCTTAAAAAAAAAAAATCACTATTCCCTCGTCGAAAACTTCCCCTTCTTCGTTTTCCAAGCTTTCAGATTTCTCGTGCTCAACTACAAACAAATCCAAGAGACCTTTACCCAACCACCCATCCCTATTACAAATTTCCCTCTGTTTATCCTTCCAACTTTGACAACTCTCTCTCCCTCTCTCTCTCTCTTTCTCTCTTTTTCGAAACTTCAACCTACAAAATCCACAGAAAGGAAAGTCAAACCTCACCTAAAGTTCCACTGACACCGAATTCAACTCTTACTCCGTTTCAACCCTCGCGTGAACAACTCCTCAATCGATCCAATCCCAATCAAACTTTTCTTGGCCGTCCATTAAACCACTTGCTTCATGAGATCATAAAATGGATTTTTACACCTTTTCATTTTCGACACGAGAGAAGTAACATGTTCCTCGAAAGGAGTGCACTCTGATCAGTTATCAACGATATACAATTCGCTTTTTCACGTCGATCGTTGTTCATTTATCATTTGTTTACCCTTCAAATAGAATTCCATAGCTGCTGCGTGACGGATACTCGTTTACTTTGTTCACAATTGTAATTACACGCCGTGCGAAAGAGGAATGAAATATAACAGAGGCCAAGGAAAATTGATCCGGATTAAAATTTCTATTCTTCATTTCCCCATCTTTCCATTTCTCCATTTTTCTTCATTCCATTCCCTTTACCATTCAAATAGAATTCTATATATCTATTACATGATGAACTGATCCTGATACGTTTCTATTCGCAATTTATAATTAATCATCATACTATAAATGATTAGAGGAGAACAAGATTTTTGATTCAAATTAAAATTCCTATTTCTCTGTTCATTTACTATTTCCAATTTTTTCTTCGTTCCCTCTCTTCGCCTCTTAATTCCTCCGTCCATTTATTCCTTTATTTCTTCAATCTCTCCTTTCTCTCCTTTCTTTTCCCTTCTCTCTTAAAGACTACCACAAGGACGATCGGTTTTCTCGGTTAACGAACGAGAAACATCATTGACCACGGTTGATCTGCTCCTCCTCGTAATCTCTCCTGCTACCTGTGGTATCAGGATCGAGGATGCGATTTCCTTTGCGTGGCCGGCCGACCATGTAAATTCCATTAGTACAGGCTACAACGGATTTTCCAGCTGCGTGTATCGATTCGAGGGCGAGCACGACGAGATCGTGAAGCTGCGGTTCAACAAGCTTTTGAACGGGAACCGGACGTGCCGCAGCGTCTCCAGCCCAGACTTTAATCGGCTCCTCTGCGTTGGATCGGAGAACTTCTTCGTGAAGGTTAGTCTCATCGTTTCGTTCAATTTTTCTTACCTGCAAATTGATATTAATATTAAAAATTCATACTTACTATATCGATTTTATGAAAATATTTTTTTCATACCTTTTATATTTTGCGAATGAATTTTAGAGGAAAAATTTTTGCTTTGATTATATCATGTACGTAACGTCTGTCGAGGTGATCTTTGGTTCAGATAGTTTGCAATTTTTGATGTTTTCAACAATTGGCCATTGAAAGCGCGGAACCGTTTCAAATATTTCCTTTCCTCGATCTGTTCAACGATAATAACGCGGCACGTGTTCCAATTAATCTTCGAAACGAACTTTGAATAGGTATTGCTCCGTTTTATATTTGCACGACACGAGATCGCTAGAGGGGCCCCCATTCATCTCTCGTGAATAGAGTTATTAACGTCGGCGAGCAAATGTGCGGCAACTGGCAAGTCGGTGTTGTTCGGATAATCGAGAACGATAGAGCTTTGTTCAAAAATTAATTAAGAGAGATCGAAACAATTATTTCCTTTTTCAATATTGTTACACTTCGATTTCAATCGGTATACCGGATTTAAATTTGCTTCAGTAACAAGAATCTCTTCTCGACATTGTGTAGAAATGAATCGAATACCAATGTGAGAAGAAAAACAACACATTCACATTTACGAGGCGTATTTTTCAAATAAAATTTCAAAAATTTCTTATCTTTTTCTAATTCCTTAACTATCCTAATCACAATATCATAATTATCTATCGAATTTCACGTTTAATGTAAATATTCAAATATTTGTTAACACTAAACAAAAGAAAAAAGAATAACACAACGCATAAAATATCCATACTCTTTAAAATCATAAAAAAACGACATAAAAAAGTCGAACGATAAATCTTTAAAAGCCCACCAATAGAATCGCAAATAAGATTCGAACACCAATCACAAATGAGCAACGATTTTAATTTAAAGTTTCCCGATGGCGATCGAGAGGACCTCTATCGACACAATTTTCCCAACTCACGAGAACGAAGGATGAAAGGTCGTAATTAACGAGGGCGCGTTTTCATTAAAACTTTATCAGAAATTCGGCGTGTAAACGATAATCGGAGTGGCAGCGGTGGGCAAAAGCCGAATAAATCTAAAATTTCGATCCGAAACGGTGGTTACCATCATTCGTTCCAAGTTCGTTATCGATTCCAGAATTTACGACGGTCGCCAGCTCACGAATTTAAAGCGCAATTAGGAACGCTTATGCTCTCGATATCCGGCCGTCATGTTTGTCCCCTCGCAATTATAATATAATCTGACGGCTAATTAAATGGCAAGCGACCCGCGGGACCGAATCACGGCTCGACATCCACAGGTGCTCGATCTTCCATGGCCGAACGCGCCGCCCGTGCAACGAGACTGCCTGTGTTCCAATCGATCACTGCCGATCAACATCAAATCGACCTCGAACATCGTCGAGGTGCACTTCACCGTCAGGTCTATGGATGCGTTGGACGATTACAATAATCTGTTCTTCGAAGGTATATGGGAATTCGTCAAGACGATTCCTTGCTTGCAGAAGAGGAGGGTGAGGGGGCCTTCCGGAGAGATCAAGTACAAAGCTCCAATAGTCGACGAGGATGAGGTGAGACTCTTTGATTTATGATGAATGAAGAAGCTTTCGTTGATCTTGAAAGTTGAGAAAATTTGTGAGAAATCATTACATTTGAATAAGATATTTGATTGATCTTACCTTCAGAAAAATTGTGAGAAGCATCCATGGCTGATAGATCCTGGGCCGAATCAATACCTATATGTAAAAATGCACGGGACGATAATGTCGAATACGAGCAAGTGCGCGACAAAGAATCGGATCGTGGTACATACCGGTGGCACGATCCACGTGTCGGTGTGCCCGAAACCACCTGCGGAGTCTAGACACCACGTGGTCGAAGTTTTCAGCGACGGCTGGGCCGTCAGCAGCAATGCCATGATTCTGGTGCCGGGTCAGGACCCCATCAGGACTATAGCCATCGAGTTTATTATCAAGGAACCGGATACGTACACGGTCACCTGGCTCGAGCTCACTAGAAGGTAAATTCTAAAATTTATTCGATTCCTTTTCCTTCACTTAGTACAATCTAAATCTTTCGTCTAGTATAAATTCTTATTTCGAATCTGACTATCTAATCTGATACATTTCCCATGATAAAACGATGTCCAAATTTCTTAATTCTCTTAGAAAGTATTTCAATTCACAATTTATTCAATTTTTCCTTCGCTTGAATTTTTATAACCTAAAACATAAATTAATTTCGTTGAAAAAATTAATTCTACTTAACTCGAAATAAATTCTTATTTCTAACAACTTTTAAGACGCATTTCTTAATTCATTTCTTGAAATCTTCTTACAGACCATCGGTAACATCGACAGCAGGGTTGCAAATGCCACGCGACTGCGAGCAGCGGTGTCCAGAGCTGGATGCATGCATAAATGCTTCTCTATGGTGCGACGGAATCTCTCATTGTCCATCAGGATATGACGAAGCTCTGACTCATTGTTCTGTTCTCCTGCAATTACCTCCCCTCCATTTGGGCCTTGGGCTTCTCGCCATCATCACGATTCTCGCCGTCATCATCTTCGTGATTTGGCGGATTTGTAGGCAACGGACGAATCGGTCGATATCGCAGCATAGGCTAAAGAGCATTTCCTCCGAGACGGCGATCATCGATGGAAAGGAAGTGATTTGCTGACACAGCGACAGTTCTGTGCGGTACGTCGAGGTCGACCGGGTGACCACCGTGTGACGATCACCCACGGTCGTCCCATTCGTCGCTCGTCGTGGCGTCGTCGCGTCCCATTTCGCCTCCTCTTGAAGGAGAAACACGTACCGACTTCACGACGACGTTCACCTCTACGTAACGTGCAGAACTGCTCTGATATACTTTATAGGAGACCTAGACTCTGTTCTCAAAGATGGTTCGCTGCTCGATGACCTAGACCATTCTTGCACTTCTTTATTTATCCACAGAAAGAGATTTGTTAGATGTTCGTAAATTCGGTTTAAGATTCTTGTTGGATTCTGAAAAATGATGGAGATTAGATGATGGATGAGAAGACTTGGAGATAAGTGCTTGTAAATATTTTGTGGAAATAGATCAATGCTGTTTGTGAAAGTAATATTTGTTTGTAGATTTTTTTTAGGTTATGTACGATGGATAGTTGAAACAAGTGTAGTTGAAATATTTCGTGCTGGTATGCGACTTTTTAAATTGATTTTGATTTTTTTAATAATTGTGTTGATGTTTTTTGTCAGTATTTTTTCGTTTCATTTTTTAATTTAGGTTAAGACAGCACTGACTTAGACACTTCGGAATAGATTATTATTTGTACCGTGATTACAAAGCGACGTATTCTTGAGAATTTTTCGATAAGAAAGTCAAGATCAATTTGCTTGAAAAAGGACAATAAGTAATAATGAAACCTTAGTAATATCGTTTCGCTGATAGCGTAGTTAACTTTTCGTCTCTTATGACTAGAGAAATCGATTCATCGATAGATCGAATAACTGGTTAATCGATCGAAATCTTAGGTCGTGGAATATTGGCAGATTTAGAGGAGCCTGAAAAATTTATTTGAACTTCGCGCTCGATTGAATCTAAAGAAAAGGAGAACAAGATAATGGTCCATGGCATCGAGCAAAGAATCACCAAAAAGAAACTCGCACTGTCGTTCAATCGTATGTGAGGTAATCTCGACGAGGATAGAAGATACGGTTTTAAGCACGAGCCAATGGCTCCTCTTTCCTTCGCTTTTTCTTGCTCCCTTTGGTAAACGCGCGAGATCCTCTGTAAAATAATTCGATCGAAATCGCGCGTTTCGATTAAACTGTGGCTGATTTCGTCGTGATTAACGTGAATTGATGATTGAGATTTTCATCTTTGATTTCTTTCTTCGATTCATCTTCGTAAAGTGACTTTACCTTACGAGAACCGTAGATATCATCTTTCTCGAATTAATATCAGATGGCGCCAGTAATAAGATAAAAGTAGGAAAACTCAATCTTGTTTCGATTTTAATTATTAATACAAAGTTATACTAATCGTTACTATTTTGTTAAAATGCTCTGTACATAATTTGATAAAAATTTAATTTGAAATATTGAAGAGGAATTTAAATAATTATAATGTTTTAGTCTCGTGTTTGGAAGATGAAAAATCGATAGAAATTTAATCGTCATTAATCACGATAAAACGGCCGAATCGGAAATTATAGATACTGACCAAATGTTTCGAGTGATTACCGTTTAGGCGACTTAATAATACTGTCACATACTAGTTATAAGACGACTTCGGGAAGAACGACGTACGTAAAATGACGTAGAAATATGGTAGCCTGAAATTATGTGATATATATAACGCTGTTTTCTACGGAGCTGTGCTCCGTTTAATAATGATTGTTACATCTTGGCAGGAGGGGTCGTCGACGACGAGAATCGATAAAAGGGAGGAAGCGTCAATTTTTTTTTTTTTTTTGATTGCGCGAAATTGGCGCCACGACGATACCCAACGCCGTAACTTGTACACCATGTTTATACTTGTACATAATTGATTATTTATTTATTTGTATCGGATAATATGACACGTGCATGTGTCTTCGTTCGCAGCTACGTTTCATCACATTTTAGTTTAAAATTTATTTAATAATAATCGTAACAAAGTTAAAATATTATAAATTTGAAAATTTATATATCTGAATATTTTATGTTTAAAGATCAATAATTTACTCTTAATTTTGAAAGTAAACACTTCGAATCTCTGAATTAATTTTTCAGATAGGGATTGCTTCAAATATCATTTTTTCGCAATCACTGCGAACGAAGGCTCGTTCTAAAACTGCTTTACTACTAGCCGATAAGCGTAGAACTCACGAAACGCAGAAGCATAAACGAAACGAGCAAATTCGAGGCGAAGCGAAGGGAACCAGAAGCAAAGCCGAGAAACACGATCGAAGAAAAAATAAACCAATGACCGGTCAGCTAACTGAAAGCACCGCCATTATATTTTTGCTGTGTTCAGCGTGTACGTCAACCGTACACCGTATTGTTCGAAAAAAAAAAAACCTACGGGATATCTACGGAACGAAAGCTACAGTCAACAATTGACCCTCCATTATACATTGAAAAAGACAATCGTTAAAATATTCGTGTTCGAATCGCACTTTTTTCAATTTTATTAATTCCGCTTTCAAACGAACCGCCCACCAGCGGCAGCTATATTGGCGACGTTCATCGAGCAATGGTTATCACTATGCGAAGAATATTCAACAAACGAAACAAAAAATCAAAAATAACATTTCTAAGTGATCGTTCGATTTCCCAAGCGTAAAATTAATTTAGGTCTATAAGTCGTTCGAAACATTTTATAGTATAATAATAATAATAAAAATAATTTCGAGAAATTTCTTCGCATAGGAGGCGCCACTGATGCTTGACATCTCCACGAACGAATCAAGATCGACAGCAATAGATGGAAAACGGAGAAGGGAATTTTTCGTCGAATTGTCACCGAATTTCGTCCTTACGAGAAGACTTGTCTATACATGCGCATTTTTTATTTCGTAATAACATTGATTAAGATTAATTCGCCATGTTCTCTGTATGTTCCGCTCGATGTCAATCGATGTTTATGTATATATACGATTAATCTCGCTCGAGAACGAACTCGTGCAACGAATCACCTTGTCTTCGCAATATTTTCCATTTCTCCATATGTGATCCGCGTTTCTTGTGTTGCGGGGACCAATAGTATCGTTGGACTCAATCTAAAAAATGAGAAAGAAAAATAACCTTTATTTTTGATTATTCAGTTTGCAGATCCCGCGATACATTTCCAGAGAATCGAAGACTGATGCTTTTAGTTTCGTGTTTTATCGTGTTGCTCTTACGACGAAAGTGTTGCGTGATATCGGTTCACTGCCATTTCCTTTATTTTATGGACCATAATTTACCCATACGTTTCTCGAAAGATTCGGTCGACCAGTGAAACGTGGATATCATCGATCGTGAAGATACAAATTATCGAATAAAAAAAAAAAAAGAAAGAAATAAATAATCAAACTTTTCCAAAAAAAAGGCTGCCAAAGAAGAGATAATCACTCTTAAAAATAATCGAAATTTCATCCGTATTTACATCTCTTACAATAAATGTCTTATTTCTATCAAACGTTTATTGAAATAGCAATAATACAACAGAAGAAGAAAGAAAAGAAAAGAAGAAATATACAAAAGAACTAAATTTAATAGAGAGATAAAAAAAAAAGAATCAAGAGGTTGAAAAGGAAGAAGATAAACATACTTATTCTGCTCATGAATGATATGTTTGATTTATATGAGCGGGACGATCGCTCATAGTCGAGTTCTCGTTTTTGGATTCCACCTGTTCCCGTCGAAGAATCCTGACAAAAATCACACGGATACAACAAAATACAAAGAAGTCACGTGCTCACCGACGATAAGTCTAAAAAGTTAAGAAACGGCACGGTTCTCTTTTTCCCTCGAGCATGACTTTGACGAGTCGAGATATAAAGCGATGAAACGATCACTGTCAGATGCCTGAGGCTTGTGCCGATGCTTGTGCTGTGCCTCGTGGTTTTGTCGCCAATTTCCGACGTTCAACTTCGTTCATCGAAATCGATAATTTTTTGTCGAATTTTTTTTTTGTCTTTCTTTTATATATTTTTATTTTATTTTTCGTTAATATGGTTTCTTTAATTATTCGATAAATAATAATAGTCTTTTGATTGCTTTAAAATGTTTTAATAATCTTAAAAAAAATTGAATGGGTATCTAGAAAAACGGCGTATGTTAGGAATTTTATATGTGAATAAGTGTTTCCATGGAACAAATTTAGAGAAGGGCAAAATTTTGACTGAAGTTACTTCGTTATTCAAGTTAATAATTGGATAATTTATTATTTAAGCATGGAATAATTATAATTAAGTGTAGTATCCAAGTTAAATTATTACTTAGAGTAACTTTATTCGAAATTTTAATTAATTTAATTAATTTTTCAATCCTTTAGTCAGAAAAGTGCTTTTGCAAAATTTCTAATATTTGTAAAAGAAACTAAAAGAGAATGACAGTGAAAGAACAATGAAAAATATTAGTTATTTTTTTCATTGCTAACAATAAACAAAAAATAATTCTCTATATAAATTTTACGAAATATAACCTCCCTTCCCTCCTTCTAAATACCCATTCGATTAATTTTCCAATTCTAACGATCAGGCAACGATTCAAAAGGATAAAAATCGAATAATTTGAGGCAGAAACGATTCTTCTTTTTTAAATGAAAATCGAAAGAAATGAATGAGGTTTTGCGCGAGAAAAAAAAATACGTTCTCCCAAATGGAAGCACGTTGTTCACATGTGCACGAAGTAAAGGTTTATTGGCAAGATTTGTATCCGATACACAAAGCACGGTGCAATTTATCGGTGAACCTTTATTGACGTTGGGCATGAAAACACGAGTCTCGTGTTTAGATACCCGCAGGACGATGGCCATAGAATCGACGACAAACCAAATCCTGGGTAACTCGTGTCCTTTGGACAACATGCTGGCACCACTGCATTTCATTATCGATTCGATCGATTTCGCGAATTATTCAATTATATTGATTTAACTTTTGTCCATATTTCTTTGTTCTCGAAGGATGACAGATTGAAATTCCTTTGTTTCTAAAAGACAGTGGTGGAAAAATACAGGAAGAAAAATATTCGAAAGAACAATGAAACTTGTGTGCACAAATTTTTTTCTCAAATTTTCAGGTCGTTGAATTTTCGATCGTGTTGTACTCTCTTTAATTACAAACGTGATTAATCGTAATTCTTAAAATTATTAATTTTTCGAAACGAAGAATTATTAATTTTCGTCGCGGTTACGGGCCAATGGCATGTGTGAATGGGTGTTCGTATGTAAATAAGATTATGAGCGACTCGATTGTAAATAAAACGTAAAATACACATGTATCGAGTTTTAAATAATTCTAGATCACGATCTAAGTTAAACGAATAACTATGTAGACGATTAGAAGTTAATTACGAATTATAAAATCATATCCATGAACGCGCTGATATTAATGAATGGAAAGTCGATGCTCGAAATAATTATTTGCCTTTTATTTCAATGACGCATTATTTATATTAATTTAAATTTTAAATATTAACGTATATACACAGATATTTGTTTTTATTGTCACGTGACCGATTAATTGATCAAATTCTCGTAATTAATTTCGCTATTTTTATTTTCAATTAATAATTTTTAATATCAAAGAAAAATAATTATAGGAAAAAGTGCTTGTTAATTAAAGTTTAATCAATAATTATTAAAGTTCTTCGTTGA